CGTGAGTGGACCTGAGTGAGAACTCCTTGAGTCCTCAGGACATAACAGGCAACATTTTCCAACAGAAGGAAACAGATACACTCACACTCTCTTCTGAGACTAAGGCCTAAGATAAACCAGGTTTCTGGCTCCATCTTATGGCCATTTGAGAAACCACACCCAATCGCAGTTTTTAGCATGCTCTTAAAGATACAGTTTGAAAATGTTTATCCTGGTTTATATATTTCTAACCCAAATAGCGGTTAGGTGACTTATATTCCTAACAGTTTCCATCCATTATTCCTTGTCTGGCCTTCATGTGCCTTGGAAAATAGCTTGACCCCCTCGTCCTCTCTGTGGCAGTCCCTCAAATAATGGAAGACTGCTATCTTGTCTCCTTTGGTTTTTCTCTTTACTAGACTAGCCATGCCCAGATCCTCTAACCATTCTTCATATATTTTAGTCTCCAGTCCCCTAATCATCCTGGTTGCTCTTCTCTGTACTCTTTCTAGAGTCTCAACATCTTTTTTTATTGGTGGACTAGGCCTCACAACAGAATTATCACGGTACAAATCAAATGCCCACAAGCATCGGAATGCATCAATGATTCACATTAGAGCAAGTAATTTTATTGGGCAACGCAAGGTGACCCAAGACTGCACAATTGTTTTAATTCTCAGTAGCAACTGCAGAGCATTGGTTGAGAAACCATCATGAGTCCCTTCACAATCTGATGGTTTTGGAAGTGGGTGTAACCTTCCTCTCTCCCGCCTCCCTTTCCATCCGTCCATCCTCCCACCCCACAACCGTCCTGCATAAAACCAGGGCCAAAGGGGCAAGGCTCCCAGCATTGGCAAGTGGTCAGCAAAGGAGAAGAACCAGGATCGCCTTTCAGGTCCTGCATCTTCCAAGCCAAGAACTATGGGCCCCATCCTGGATCCAGTGCTTCTACGCGTCCTCAAGCTCCTGCTGCCCTTGGGTGCCTGTGGCTGGGGTCTTGCGGTCGCCTTCCCCAACTGGTCCAACTCCGATGACGTGGTACACCTCTACACCTCTAGCCAGAAAAAGGGCTTGCACCTGCAGATCCATCCTGATGGGCGAGTGGACGGCAGTTCATCCCAGACCGCGGAGAGTAAGTCCCCGGAGGATCTGCAGAGTTGGCTGGTGCTGGAGGGAGGGAAGTCGGGGGGCACATCCAGGATCACCCCTGGAGGCTCCAGAATGCTAGGAATTCAATAACAGAGTTGCAAGGGACCTTGGAGGTCTTCTAGTCCAACCCCATGCTCAGGCAGGAAACCTTAGACCATTTCAGACAAAGGGTTGTCCAATCACTTCTTAAAAGCCTCCAGGGCTGGAGCAAAAACAACGTCTGAAGGCAAGTCATCCCACGGATTAGTTGCCGAGTAGTGAAAACGCTCACCTCCAACTCGGGAAGTTGAGAGTTCGATCCTAGATAGCGGCAGGTATTTCTCTCCTAGGATATCTGTTGTGAACTCCGGGCTGGCGTCAGGAAGGGCATCTGGCCAGTAAATGCTCAACTCCATCCAGTTGCTCCAACTCTTCCCTGAATTAAGGGATTTACAGGGTCATTAAAAAGAGAGTTTTCTTGTTTGACCAAATCTATGGGCAAATGTTTTGCCACCATTGGCCAGAATTTGGGAAGAGTGGGAAGGCATCAGATAATAGTATTCTATTATGGGAGGCTGCTATTTCTGGCTTCACGTATGTATGAAGAGCCCTTCTAATATTTAACCCATTCGCTTCCAGGCGCTTTGATAATCAAAGCCGTAAGCGCAGGCCTTGTATGTATCATTGGTGCGAAGAGCAGACTCAACCTTTGTATGGACAGTAAAGGAAATCTCTTTGGATCGGTGAGTCCTAATATTTATTTGGGATTATTTGGATTCCTTTCCTAGTGCAGCCAAGCCATTAAGAACTTGTGTTATGAGAGTTGAAGTAGGTTTCTTGGTCTAGCAAGTGGAAGAAGAAAATCCTATCATACTCAATTCCTTTCGATTTGGGACTGGGGCATGTTTGTGACGTAACATGAGGTGAATTGGTGCTCACACTTTCCTCCTAGGACAGGGGTGTCAAAGTGGATTTCTTCAAGGGCTGGATCAGCATTGTAGTTCTATGTGGGCCAGTGGCGGGGGGGTGGCTGGGGGAGGGATGGGTGCCTCCTAAAGCACCCTCCTGCCAAAACGGGGCACGGGGCACTGCTGGCTGTTTTCGGCCTGTTTTCAGGGTGGTTTTTCGGGCCAATTTGTGAAAACGAGGAGCAGGGGTGGGCTGATTCTGCCCCGCAGGCCTTGAGTTTGACACCCCCGTCCTAGGACATCTGCAGCATGTTGTCATTATTCTATGGAGAACTTGGATGTCTGGCACAAAGATGGGGACCCAAGGGTACGTTTAGAAAATGTATTTATATTTGGGAAATATTCGACACCCAAGTGCGCCGTCGGAATTTTTCCACTGTAAGATGTGGTTGATTTTTACCTCGGCCTTGACCTTTGGTTTGTCTTTTGGTGTTTTCTGTTTGTGTCTCCTTTAGTCTTCCTTCAGAGAAGAGGATTGCGTCTTTAAACACACGCTGCTCAAAAACGCCTTCGACGTTTACGAGTCCCCCACGCACCGTTTCCTGGTCAGCCTAGGAAGGGTTAAGAAACCCTTGCTTCCCAATAGGAACCTACCGTATTTTTCTCAGTTTTTAACCAGAAGGAATGAAATCCCCTTAAGCGAGCTCAGTGCAACAAGGCCTCGGGAGGAAGAGACCTTTGACGGTTATTTCGAGCCCTGTGTGCCCACCTCGTTTGGAGAGGTACGTGAAGAAAGCCTAGGTGAGGCGGGGATCGACCCCTGCTTCCCCATTGGTGAATAGAGAGGGCCAAACGACGCCATGCGGATGGGATGACTTTCTAGCCTTCAAACGGATTCCTGAACCCGAGACGAGAATTGGACTTCTCACCTGAACCATCAAATAAAAGCTAAATTCCTTTTTTCCCCCAGATGGATTCTTCAGAATAAGGAGTGGGGGGGGGAGTCACGGCTGTGTACAGGTAGTCCTCGACTTACGACAGTCCATTTAGTGACCGTTCGAAGTTACAACGGCGCTAAAAAGGGGGGGGACTAGGAACGTTTTTCACCCTTACCAGCATCCCCATGGTCAAGTGATTAAAATTCAGATGCTTGGCCACTGACTCACCTTTATGACGATTGCCGTCTTGGGATCCCCTTTTTGAAACCTTTAACAGATATAACAGGTTAACCGAGTTGGAAGGGACTGTGGAGGTCATCTAGCCCAACCCCCTTCTGACCAGCCAAGTCAGTGGGGAAGCCAGGCTCCCTTCACAACCCGTCTTACTAACTTTAACAGCTGCAATGATTCACTTAACAACTCTGGCAGGAAAGGACTTAAAATGGGGCAAAATCTCACTTAACCAATGTTTCGCTGAACAACATAAAATTTGGGGCTCAATCACAGTTGTAACTCAAGGACTATCTTTAAGCATCTTTCTGGTTCTATCCCAGGTCCTTACTGACCTGAATGACAAATGTGAATTATGAGGCGAGTTTTACATATTTTTACATATTTTTTACATTTCAATGTTTAAGCTTTGCCCCTGTGATGCTGTACAGATAGTATATAGAATTCTTGTCATGCCACAGTCCACCCACAGCTGACTGGCAGAAATGGCGAAGTTGCCAATATCGGTTGAATCTTTGACTTGATTTGCCTCTAAGCCAAAATAGGAATGCCCAGAACCTTTAAATAAGCAAAATCTGTGTATCAGCGGTGGTCGGAAAAGAAAAAAAGGGTGAACACCCTCTATTATAGAGATGGACAATTAAGTTTTTACAAGGGTCAACATGAGAAAGTGAGACTGTTGTGGGGGAGCAAATCAAAACAGTTCCAGACATGACATATCTCACAACATTGCAAAATGAGTCCAAGGAATCCGATTCAGCCAAGATCATCTCCATGAGTTTCTTCCTTTGGGTCTTAGCCAGACTCCCTCCTGAGCTGGACCTTAGCTGGATTCAGGATGCTGACCCGTCCCAGTAACCCGTTGGCCAAAGGTAGGCTTTGTGCAGGAAGTGCCAAATCTTGGTATTTTGGCATGGGTTATCTACGACCCGATGGACTGGTATGGAGGCTCCCTTCAGGGAGAACAGAGTTGAGATGCTCCATAAAGCAACTTTGTGGTCTGTTAAAAAGCATTAAGCGTGCAGCCATCCTTCTGGGCTGGGGTTCAAATCCAGGTCATGCCCGACTCCTTCCAACCCGGGATGTCAAGATACGAGAGGAGAGTTTGGAAGAGGCAGAAAACTGCTAGAAAAAGTCTTCTGTGGGAACGGTGCACCAGATTAGGGCTAGATCCAATTCTCTTGGGAATTAATTATTTGTGCCTGATTCCCACTGCAACTGTTATACTATTGTTTTATTCTGCTGTACCACATTGCGTTTACTGGTATCCATCTGGGCTGCGGTTCCAGGGCATGCCCAGGTCATGCCAAATCCAGGTCATGCCCAGCTTCTCCAGGATGCCAGGATATGAGACGAGTTTGGAAGAGGCAGTATCTGAAACAGAAAATTCCTAGTAAAGATCTTCGGTGGGAACGGTGCACCATTTAGGAAGCCGGTTAGTTGTGTTAGCTGGATCCTCATCCAATTCTCCGATTGGGAATTATTTGTCCCTGATTCCCACTGCAACAATTACACTGTTGTTTTATTCTGCTGTACAACATCACATTTACTGGTATCTTCGCTTCTAGATTTGTTATGAGCTTTGTCTTATGCTGAAAATGCAAGTCAGTATCAAAGCACTAATTTTTCTTCTACATCAGCAAAAAATCTGTAGGTCAGGGATGTCAAAACTCAAGGCCCGAGAGCCAGATCTTGCCCATGGGGTTGTCATGCCCCTGTTGAAGGCTGACTCCGAGGGAGAGGAGGAACAGCCGACAGGGAGTGGGAGTGTGGCTCCAGAGGTTGTGGAGGAAGCTGGGGAAAGGCACAGGCTGGCTGGGCAGTCAGAGGAGGACCAAAGTCTACCCCCTCTCCATCCTAGGGCACACAGGGAGGAGAGGATAAGGGAGAAACGCGAATGGTGTGATCTACGGGGGAGGAAAGGGCCTTGATCCCCTTCATGGGCTGCAGCTGTGAGGACTGTTTAAAAGAATGGACTGCGCATGAGCCAGTGCTGGAAACAAAAGCGTGGAAATATTTCTAATCTGTCCATTCTTATCTGAGTTCTGGCGTCCTTCCCAGTGTGTATTCCGATATCTGGGGACGTCTTCAAGTCCTTATCTTGCCTGGTTCCCTTAATTGCTTCAGTGTGGTTTGTGTCGTTTTTCGATTGATAATTTATAGGTGTTTTTAGTTTAAACGGCATTTCCTCCTTTTTTTGCAACTGTTTGTGGGAGAGTTTTTTTGTCTCCAGTCAAGAATATTTGGAGCTTGGAAGCCAAGTTGAAAGAATTAAAGGGGTTTCACCTCTTTTTGTGACTTTATTTTGTATCCCATCCTGGGTCATCACAGGGTGCTTAGATCTGTCCCACGGGGCCATCTTGGAAACAGCGAAGGATTGGCCTGCAGTGCCTCTGCCAGCGAAAACGGAGCTCGGGATGGCTGCCCACAGCCCTCCTGAGCTCCATTTTCGCCGGCAGAGGTTTGCAGGAGGCCATTGCGACCCAAAACAGAACTCGGGAGCCCAGTTTCACTGACAGAGTGCTCGGGCTGCCACAGGCGCCCTGATCTGAGGGACATCGAGTTGGTCACGCCCTGTGACCCCCCCGAGGTCAAACACAACCCTGATTTTTGCCCTCAAAGAAATCGAGTTTGACACCCCTGTTTTAGAGAGATCCTCACTCTCCTTCAGGCTGGCTTGGGATATTCTGGATTGTTACACATCCCGCAGGCTCTGAGCACTAAACCAAGAGACAGGACCTCACAAGAAAGGGTTACCTGGTTTCATTGATCTGCATTACGAATATGTACCACCCTGCAGTTGCTTTCATAGGCAACCCTCTTCCCAAACAATGCCTGACCTGACCTAATACCTCACAATATCCCAAAATGAGTAGAAGGAATCCGATTCAGCTAGGACAGGGGTCGGCAACCTTAAACACTCAAAGAGCCACCAAGGTCCTAACTGGAAGCCCCCCGTTCAATTCTGCAGCCGACAGGAAATCCAGTTCCCCCATCATAGAGTCTCCTCCTAGCACAGCATCCTTTTCCCTTTACCTGCCCTAACTGAAAACCCTATCAATTATGGAGCTGACCAGCGACAGGGAGCCACAGCAGAGGGATGAAAGAGCCACATGCAGCTCCAGAGCCACGGGTTCCTGACCCTTGCGCTAGGATCATCTCCGTGAGTTTCTTCCTTTGGGTCTCAGCTGGACTCTCCCAGGACTAACCTTAGCTGGATTCATGATATTGACCCATCCTATCAACCTGTAGGCTTTGTGCAGGAAATGTCAAGTCTGGGTATCTTGGCATGGTTTATCTACGACCCGATGGAGGAGAACGGGCAGATAAGGCTCCTTTCAGGGAGAACGGAATTGAGATGCTCCATAAAGCAGACAATGGGAAGGCAATGTATGTATTTTTCTATTCCCATGTTTGTTTATTTGGATTATTTACATATATGAGTATTTATGTTTGTTATTCTGCCCCTCCATTCTGCCCCTCCATGAAGACAAATTAAACGTTTTCAAGAAAGAAAGAAAAATCTTTATTAAAAGTTCCTGTTTCAATTCAGTGCAGTAATTCCGGTGTTCCCTGGGCACTCCCATACTCTCCTTTTAACCACATCCCCTCCCGTTCTGATGTTCTGCCTTTCTCCATCTCTCATTTATGTAGCCATAGTTTTGGTTTGTTTGGGGTTTTTTTTTTTAACAAAAAAACTCCCAGACTTTTGTGGCTCACTCAAAAGGTATATTTTAATGAACTGGAAAGTAACATTATTAGAAGGAATAACAAAAGCAACATCTGAAGGCTCAATAAATATAAACACGGCAAGTGTTTCACATATGTTAAAATATGGAGCAGTTGATAATTTAACAAAGGGAACCGTAAACTTTTAGGACGTGGGCTTGAGGTCAAACACAAAGAAAACCACCTGACCGAAACTTATGCGTCTTAAATACACACACACACACACACACAAACCCAAGACCTCAGGTCCTTCATTTCTGAAATGAAGAGTCAACAGCGCATGCAAGGCAAGGATATTTGGAGGTATTTATTTTCTATCTAGAAATAGCTAGATTTTGAATGTCAAGGCATGATGCTCCTCCTGGCACATCTCAAGGCCCTTCCTCAAAAGAGGTGAGGCCACTGGCTCTTTTAATGCCATCTAGGAAAGGAAGTGGAGAAAAAGAACTTGACTGACCTAATTGCACTTTCCACAAATATGATTCGGTGAATCGTTACGTCTTCGTCGTCTTTGGCATGTGGGGGGAATAGAACATCTAAAACCCATAATAGCCATAAACCAATTTCTGAGTGTTCGTATGCAGCATAAAGACTTGTGCGTTTGGTCTCCATGTGACCAAGAGAAATGTGTTATCTTACCTCCATGAATAAGGGACCGGGCCTCACAACAGAACCATCACAACCCAAGTCTAATGCCCACGAGTATCAGAATGTTTCAGAATAATTCACATTAGAGCGACAGCTTTACTGGCCAACACAAGGTGACAAGAAAAAACAACAACAGCGCACAATTATTTTAATTCTCAGTAGCGACCACAGAGTAGTGGTTGAAGAAACCATCGCCAGTCTCTCAGTTCTCTGATGGCTTTTTGAGTATGTTGCCAAAAATGACATGGAAGGCCCAACTTCATCTTGCTTATTCTTAGAATATGGTTTGGCTCTATAGCATTTGTGTATCTTTTTTGAAAGAAAAAAACCAGATATGTATTTACTGCATGATTATTTCCAGGGAATTTCTTGCAATGAACTTAAGGCAAATTCCACCAGGGAGCTCCCTTGTGCAAATTCTCCTAAAGCAAACTAAGTCCTAATAGGAGACCAGTGTGCATTAGCACACAGTTGGACTGAGAGAGAGGAGTTGTTTGCAGGATCAGAGCTGGTTTTGTCTCCTATTTTTTAATTAATACAGTTACTGAAGGATTCTAAAGGTTTTTTTTTTTTCAGGAGGCAACTGGACTATTTTGTCTTTTCCTCTGAAAATGTTTCACTTCTCATCCAAGAAGCTTCTTTAGCTCTGACTGAATGGTGAAGATTGGAAGGATTTATATTCCTTGCAGACAGCTGGTCATTTGCGTACTTTTCAGAAAGTCCTTGAGGCCACCCGGAGGACACACATAAACCGCCAAGTGGCCTCAACAACCCTCTAAAAGGATGCAAATGACCAGCTGTCTGCAAGGAGTATCAATCCTTCCGTTCCCCGCCATCCAGTCAGAGCTGAAGAAGCTTCTTGGATGAGAAGCGAAAGATCTTCAAAGAAAAACAAGGAAAGTCCAGTTGCCTCCTGAAAAAAGCACCATGACCTGGATGACTGAGAATCTCTAAAGGATTCTAAGTTGTCCAAGTTATTTAAAATAATTAAAACAAAAGACAGGGGATTTATTTATTTTTTTAACTTTCTTAGCCATAGCTACTCTGCATTTAAGCTTTCTGCTGGGATCATCCCACACCGCATTTGGTCCAGCAGAGATCCAGTCCCACCCTTGTAGAGGCCATGCTCTTAAAAAGGGAAGCTAGATTACACTCGGGTTCACGGTCTGATCCTAATTAAATCATCTAAAAGAGGGGTTCCCAGCTCCTGGTGCATGGCACGTTTGAAACTGGGCTGTGGAAGTGATGGGTGAATGCACATGTGTGCGCCTGCGCACAGCTGCATTTGTAAAACCCCAACCTTTCGGGACTGGCAGAGACGGTGGCAGGGAGGAAGAGGGGACACATTACGTGCACAGCTACACTTGTGAAAGCAGCACACGCCCCCCCCCCAATAATCCTCTCTCCTCCCCCTGCTGCCGCCACCTCACCCGACAGGTTGGGAGCGGGGGAGGCGGAACGCTGATCTAAAGATCACTGGTTAATTTATACGGCAGCATTATTCAAATTCTGCCCTTTCCTGGATGGCTCCCAGGTGGGAGAGCATTTAGAACAGCGATCAGTTCTAGAAGCTTCTCCTGGAAGATCACCTTTCCCACCAGGCAATGCTGTTTTCTTGTCTCTCCCCCGACACTTTCAACAAGGGCAAACTCGTAAAGAAAGTCGGATGCAAAATGGAGGTTCGCATCCCTTAGCAGAAATTTTTTTCTGGTAAGCTAACGTTTTCCAAACATAATTGAGAAGATAATATGGCGATTCCACGCGGGGGCGTAAATAATTTCCTTCCTGGGTTAAACGTCGCACAGCTACCTGCTCTTAGCTGTCACTCATGTCACGTAAGTGGTCGCTTCTATTGAGAGAAAGGCAGAGGATTCTAGGGGGAAGGAGGCTCTCCTTCATTTCCAGTTTGACAATGAAGCGGCAAATCCCGGTATTGGGAGTCACCGAGGACAACTCGGCCTTTGTCAACGTGGCTGGCAAACTACACTGCAGGTCTGACATGAAGTAGCCAATCCAGTTTCTCATGTAGGCCCCATGACTCACAACCAGGATGTTGGCTGCCAGCCCGCCTCCTGCAGCTCCTTCAGAGTTAGAATCGCTTTCCGGTTCACCGCGGTGGTTTGGCAACGAAGTGGCAGGACTCCCTTCTGCCGTTTCTCCATCGGCTCCTGTCCCCAGAGAAACCCGTTTTTCTAGACGTGCCTCCCGGGCAACCAGATTGCAAAGGTATTCAAAGAAATCCTTGACGCGGGCTTTTACCTGAAGGGAGAGGGGGGGAAAAAAATCAGATGGAAAGCTTTGCAAAGGTATTGCAGGATAGGTTTTGTCAAGGGGACCTCTGAAATTCCTGCTTGGTTTCTGTGCTAACACCTTTTTTTAGTTTCTTGGGATGGCTCCGCTGAACTTTCCACAAACTTGACTTAATGCCTCTGTTTTCCACATTCGTGGAAGTAAACCTGGACTTTCCGAGGCCAACTTGGTTCATATTCATCCACCATGGTGGCCCTCAGCCCTTCCTACTCCTGTTCTTCCATGAGGCAAGTTCTCTTCCCTCAATCTGTGACCAGAAGTGTCCACTGAGGATGGAGTAGAACCAAAGGATTAATTCTACTGTGAGAATTAATCCCAGTCTACTATAATCATACATGGTATTGAAGGCCTGTAAGAGATCTACAGAACCAAGAGAGGAATACAGGGAGTCCTTGACAAACGACCACATTAAACCCAAAATTTCTGTCACTTTTGCCTCACTTTATGGGCCTCTTTGCCACCGCTGTTAAGCAAATCACTGCATTTGTTAAGTGAATCATGCCGTCATTAAAGAAATCTGGCTTCCCCCATTGACTTGCTTATTGGAAGCTGTGTGTGGAATGGTGAACTACAAAAGGTGAAGGCATGAACCCAGGTCACTGCAAAATATATGCCAGCTGGCAGCGCCCGGGTGCCATCAAAACACAGCATGGATTTTGCAGATTTCTCTCTAAGTATCTATGTATCTATGTATCTATTATCTATCCATCAATCATCTATCCATCAATCTATCATCTATCATCTATCAATCAATCATCTATCCATCAGTCATCTATCATCTATCTATCTATCATCTATCCATCCATCTATCATCTATCAATCATCTATCAATCTATCATCTATATATCATTTATCCATCTATCATTTATTAATCTATCATCGATCCATCATCTATCCATCCATCATCATCCATCCATCATCCATCCATCATCCATCCACCTACCTACCAACCATCCTTCCTACCTCCCTACCTCCAAAGCTGGAGCCTAACAATTTATGTTGGGTTGTTGCTGGGGTGCCAACATTAGATACCTGCAGTTTGATGCATTCTTAGCCAAGAGATAAATTGAGTGATCTCTAAAAGCATCTCTAAATATTTGTATTTGAGTTAGCAGACTATATATGTAGGCATTTTAGGAGCCATGGTGCCGCAGTGGATAGAATGCAGTATTGCAAGCTAATTCTGCTGACTGCCTGGAGTTCGATCCTGACCAGCTCAAGGTTGACTCAGCCTTCCATCCTTCTGAGGTGGGTAAAATGAGAGCCCAGATTGTGGGGGGCAATAGGATGACTCTGTAAACCGTTTAGAGAGGCCTGTAAAAGCACTGTGAGGCAGTATATAAATCTAAGTGCTATTGCAATTGTTTTTGAGTGTGCTTAATGTACCAAGGAGTAAATTATCCCTGTTTCTGAATGATGTGTGCTTGTATGTTGCTTCTGTGGAGGTGTATACAAGAGAAAGAGAGAGAGAGAGAGAGAGAGAGAGAGAGAGAGAGAGAGATGGAGATGTGGCTGTATGGCTGCACAGTGTAAAGAATGTAAAGATGTACTTGTGGGTACAGTGTGCATATCCATCAAGGAGGAGTGGGTGTGAACCTTTTGTACTTGTACCTGCAAATCCTGCATGTATGAAGGACCTATTTTGACTGAGACCTGTCAAAAAGCTTTGCACACATGGCTACCTACTATGGCTGTACAAGTACATAGGCATCTTAGCTGCCTCTTCTTTTCCTCTGCTGCTTATCTTCTCCAGTTCAGCTTCACTTTCTCTGCCTGCTGGAGATATTTTAGCGAGACCCCGGCTGCCCTGGGGAGTTAGCCCTCTCAGCCATTCACAAGCGCATAAAGGTTCAGTCAGTCGCTCTCCAATGGACCCCAAACCCCAGAAGAATCCTTACTTCATCCAGGGTTTCTCCTTCAGGGGGGGTAAAAGAGAGATATGGTTCCCCAGCTTCCTTGGCCATGGCTTTAAGATCACTGAGAGGCCTCCCTTCCGCCACTCCATATTTCTGCCAAGACAGGAGGGAGAATTATGTGGTGAGTGTTGTGGCAAGGATGCAACTCGCATTCCCACGTCGAAGGGCAGCCTGCTGCAGACCACATTTTCCTTCTCCTTTGGAGAAGAACCTGTGATGACCCGGGGCGTGGCACAAAGGCAACATAGTCAAATAAGCAACAAGAGTCCCTTTATTATCTCCAACTTTTCCCCCAATGTCCAGGTTACCTTCTGGCTGGAGAAAAACTCTCCCAAGAACAGCCCTTGACTGCAGAAAATTCAGTCCAAAACAGGGTAAACACAAACTGTAACTTAAAAATCCAAACAAGCCAAACTGAAGTAATTAGTTGGCTGGGCAGGAGCAGGAATTTTAGATGTGAAGGCACGGCAAAACTCACACAGTTGGGAAGACGCCAGGAACACAGATAAGACTCGACCATAAAAGATAACGCACAATTTGCTTCCCAGGAGTTGCCGTGTGCAATCTCTCTTTTAAAACACAGTGTTCCCAGCTGCAGCTAATGAAGGGAATCAGGGCCCTTTCCTCTCCCGTAAGTCACGCAACCCACGTTGTTCCCTTCTCCATTCCTTCCTGCATGCCCTAGGATGAAGAAGGGGTGGGCCTATGTCTTCCTCTGAATTCCCTCTCCCTTGTTCTACCTCCCCACTGCTCTGCCCAGGCAGACTTTACCCTTCCCCAGTTTCCTCCACAGCCAACAGAACCACACTCCCGCTCCCTGACAGCTGTCCGGCTTCCTCTTCAGATTCAGACTCCGACAGGGGCATGACAGAACTGAAGCAAAGCAACTTTCCTGAAACAACTCCTGTAGCCCCCACCCACCTACCCAAAAGAACTTATTTGTCCTCTGTCTCTCCTTGGCTTCACCCACCATTCTTGCCTCTGATTAGAATCTGCCTTCCTGCAATCCCAGGCCCTGGTTTCCCATCTGCAACTAAAAGACTTGGGGTGAGTTGTGTGATAAAAAATGTATTCATTTAATATTGCGCTCTATCGCTTCCGTTCAATGGCAAACATCTCCCATGGCTGGTAATCAGCCGAGGTTTGTTGAGTCAGGAGTTTATTTTGACGACAAATGAATTCATTTGCTTACAACACTGATACACCCGTCCATCAACTCTAGGATGCCCCCCAATCAAAGATTAAAATTCCTATTAAATTACTTTAAAAGGATAAAACAGATCAGAACTTTAGAAACAAAACTGGTGTCAATCAGTTTGACGGTGCTAATCTTCTAATCTTCTGTCAGCGGCTTGGGGGGGAAGATCAGGGTCTTCTGTGGTTTTCAGAAGGCTAGGAGGGTGGAGGTCAGCCTTGAATTTCATGGGGAAGGGTCTTCCGTAGGGCAGGGGCTGCCAAGGGAAAGGCATGCTTTCTAGCTCCCGCAAAATTTAGGGGAAGAATCCAGGAGAGTATCCTTCCCCTAAATGTACAAGACAACCATAGCGCCCTGTTGCTCTATATGGCACTGAAAGCTGGGCAGCAATAACAGGGACAGCTCTCTCGGTGCCATGGAAATGCAAATGCTCCATTGGATATCGGGCATCTCCCGTCTTGACCACATCACAAAGGACACAACACAACAGCATTTTGATGTGACACCACAGAGAAGACTGGCTCCGCTGGTACGGACATGTCCAGAGAGCAGCACCTTCCACCGTGGCCAAGACTGCCTACCAACTAGAAGTCAATGGCCAGCAACTTCACAGGCGTCCAAGGCACATCATCAAAGATATGCAAGCTGTGGGCCTGGGCCCTAGAGAACGCAGCTGACCATGCAAAGTGGTATGAAATGATCTGAAAAGTGGACCCTGGACCTGTGGGAATATGCTAGGAAGAAAAAGAAGAGTCTAGAAGAGTGCACAGCCCATTTCACCGGGTAAGATGGATAGACGCCTTAGGGCAGTGATGGCTAACCTTTTTGGCACCGAGTGCCCAAAGTGTGCATGAACCCCCAAAATGCAATGTGTGCATGTTCCCCGCACATATATCCTGCCCCCTGTGCATAGACTCCATGCATGCCCATGTGTCCTCATGCATGCCACCTGCTCCCCACTGCCCACATATGCGTAGCAGAACTGAACTGGGGCAATGGCTCGTGTGTCTGCAGAGGAGGGCTCTGCGTGCCACCTATGGCACCCATGCCATAGGTTTGCCATCACGGCCTTAGGGAAAGGCATTCCCATGGAGATAGCCTGGCTCTGGGCCATACAGGGCTTTAAAGGTAATGACCTTGAATTGCACCTGGAAAGAACCTGGAAGCTGATGCATTTAAGACGCTGCCCTCTTCAACACCCGTGAACAGGGTTTCTGAGTTTATTACTAATGTTTTACCACCTCTTCCCTGGTGGATTAGGGGAAAGTTTATTATAGTCTGGGGGGAAAGTTGCTGGGGGAAAGTTTATTTCAGTCAGTTTCTGGTTTATTTATTGGACCCAACATTTGTCAGACATCAAAACTTTAACAGCAAAAATTATCTAAACAGATAATGGAAGAAGCTGTTCATTCTCTGGAAAACTACAGAACTTCCTGCTTAGGTATTGAAAAGGCACTTAATTGTTTCACAATAACAGCGAACTGTGTATCTCTTTTGTTTAGAGATGGATTATTTTATTTCGCTTTCCCTCTTTTTACCCACCTTTCTCTCTCAGTTCTCAACCACCCAATCGTAGCTCTCAAACAAGTCCCTCTCCTGCCCCCATAAGGAAGTGCCCAGTTAGGTTTTTCACAGCCTTGGTGGAATGCCAGCCATCTGTCCTGCCATTATGCTGCGCACACCATCAAAATCAAACAAAGCGTTTGATTCAAGCGATTAATATTTGAAAGGCATCTATCCAAAAAAATGGGGGGGAGGGGAGGAGAAGAGATCAGATCTAGGTAAAGAAATGGGTTTTTATTATGAACCTAATCTCAATTGCTGACTCCTGCAAATCCTGATTATGTAGATTATTTCTAAGATATAATGCAGGCACCAAGTGTCTTTTATCACTTCTTATGTTTAATCCTGGCTAGACCTCTCCGACACTGCTGTACAGTAAGACTATCCTCTTGACAAGGACTGGATTAGGTTGGCTGAGGCCCCTCTTTTTCGGGGGGGGGGGGGGGGGGGGGGAGAGAAGAGACGAACAGCTGCCCTACCTGGTAACGGTGGTCCCTGCACATGTACAGAACTGCACTCTGCAAACCAAGGCAGCCAACTATCCATGGAGGTTCTCAGTCCTCCAGATCATGGTTGTCCCAAAGGTGCTTTTTCAAGAGGCAACTGGACTTTCTGGTTTTTCTTTGAAGATCTTTCGCTTCTCATCCAAGAAGCTTCTTCAGCTCTGACTGGATGGAGGGGAATGGAAGGATTTATACTCCTTGCAGACAGCTGGTCATTTGCATTCTTTTTAGACAGTCCTTGAGGCGACCTGGAGGTTTATCTGTGTCCTCAGAGTCACCCAAATAGTGCAAATAGGGTCAGCTGAGTGTTGCAAATGGATGTGGAGTCTTCTTGGAACTGCTGAAAGGACTGTGTTATAGACTGGAATTAGTTATCATATCCCTCCTCCCTTCAACAGAAGGAGGGCTGTTCAGTTTTGACACAGATTGGCCTCTTTGACCTCTCTTTCAAACCAGTGGTCCTCCCTTTCCAAAATGTGGACTTTGTTGTTTTCAAAAGAGTGGCCTCTATCCATATTTTGGAGAGGATGTCAGGTTTGAAAAAGAGGTCAAAGTGGCCATCTGTGTCAAAATTGAACAGGCCTCTCTCCACAGAGGGGGAGGGATAGAACATCCTCTATCTCCAGTCTACAACACAGTCCTTTCAACAGTTCCGAGAAGGCTCCACACCCATTTGCAACACTCAGCTGACCCTATTTGCACTACTCAGGTGACCCTGAGGTCACAGACAAACCTCCGAGTGGCCTCAATAACTTTCTAAAAGGATGCAAATGACCAGCTGTCTGCAAGGAATAGAAACCCTTCCATTTCCAGTCAGAGCTGAAGAAGCTTCTTGGATGAGAGGTGAAACATCTTCAAAGAAGAACCAGAAAGTCCAGTTGCCTCTTGAACAAGCACCTTTGGGACAAAGTAGTTAACCAAAGCAAGAGTGGCCCAGCACCTGCCCTGCCGAGTTTAGGATGTAGCCGTTGGGAACCTGGCATTGATCTTCTCTAGGGGCAAGGAAATACTTACCCGTTCTCGAAGGCGGGCGTCACATTTTACAGGAATCTCTTTGCAGTGCTGGCTATTTCTAAGAATTGAGGCTGTGGTCTGAAATGTTAAAAAAGGAACATTGAAAAAGATTATTATTTTATTTATTTTTTTTAAAAAATGCGTTTATTAGATGTCAAGGCTTGACTCCTTAATAATGTACACATTTTTAAAAAATGGAAATACATGTAGTCCTCAACTTGTGACCACAATGGAGCCCGAAATTTCTGTTGTTGAGACAGACATCGGTTGAGTTTTGCCCTTTCTTACGTTACCTTTCTTGCCATAGTTGTTAGGTGAATCACTGCAACTGATAAGTTAGTAACGAATCTGGCTTCCCCGTTGAGTTTGCTTGTCAAAAGATCCCAAAAGGGGATTAGGGGACACGGCAACTCTCTTAAATATGAGAGAATTGCCAAGCGCCTGAATGTTGATCACATGACCGTAAGTCTCTTCCCCCACCCTCCCCGTGCCATTTTAACTTTGAACAGTCATTAAATGAACTGCTGTAAGTCAAGGACTACTTGCATACATGTCCCAGGGTAATGGTGCAAGACTGAATCTGGGTTGGCCATGGGTACCAGAGGTTTACCGTATTTCCCCATGTATAAGCACCCCCTTTGTATAAGCCACCCCCCCAATTTTTGGACTGTGAAGTTTTGAAAAAAATATTTTATTAGAGAAACAAGTTATGAAGAAAGAAAATTTACAAAGAAACAAAATTCGACGTCTAGATCTACAACTTCGGTCATGACGCCGAAAGTGGTGCGGGCGACGCTAGCAATCTACGCATCGGAACGAGAGTAGGAACGAAGCATTCAGGCTGATGCCTAGCGTATGCATTTCTATCGCGTACTCGCACTCGTAATCGTATCATCACGTACAATTTTTACAAAAAAGTATAGCATACTGCTGGAAAACCAGTTTATTCCTACTTTATTATTTTATGCATTTTTCACATATAAAAAGTGTACCTGCTTTGTATATGCCACCCCCCTACTTTTTGGGCTTGAAAATTTTGGAAAAAAGGGGTGGCTTATACATGGGGAAATACAGTACTCTCCTGAGCCTTTGATCTCGTGTTGGAGTCCCACTTTCGGGGAACTCCTCTCTACTGGAATATGTGCTTTGGGCTATTCTGTGGGTGGTATTTATGTGGTGCCTTCCTATTGGCTGATTGGTGTGTTGATGGCTGGCGATTGGCTGTCGTTTCCTTGTACTGTGATAAGCTGGTGGTAAATCAGCACCCCTGTTGATTGACAGGTGGGGCATTTCCCAGGCTCCAATAATTTCCCTGGCTGTTTTTGTACCTGCCCAGCCAAATTAGTAGCTGCAAAACTGAACGTGTGTGTATATATGTGGCGCAGTGGTTAGAGTGCAGTACTGCAAGCTATTTCTGCTGCAGCCAGCTGCCTACAATTTGGCAGTTCAAATCTCACCAGGCTCAAGGCTGACTCAGCCTTCCATCCTTCCCAGGTGGGTAAAATGAGGACCCAAATTGTTGGGGGCAATAGGCTGACTCTGTACACTACTTAGAGAGGGCTGTAAAGCACTATAAAGCGGTATATAAGTCTAAGTGCTATTGCTATTTTTTATAAATAACTTAAGGGGGTGAACATACCTAATGTCTATAAAATAGAAAACAATGGTTACAAATTAAAGAGTAGGCAAACTAATTAAAAATGGAACATATGTTCATTTTACTATTATTACAACTTTACACGTACTTATCCCCCACACAAAAATGAACTCCAAAAACAAACTCCTAGAATTATTACTGTTTGTTAAATTTCTATGTCTCCCAACAAGCCAGAACATTTATTTGTGCACAATTTCACCTACAAGTTACTTGCCTGCTTTGCTCGAATCAGGTCACTGGTGAAGACATGAGTAAATCTGATATGACTGAGATACATCCCAGCTGCGTCGGCTTGCCTGAATCCGGTGTCTGAGAGAGGCTCGTCCACCCCTTGACCTGCAAGAGCCACCATGGGAATGAGTCCAATAGTTAGAACAAGTGTGTTTTAGCCATCATCAGCTGATACTCTCCAAAGATCAGGGACAAGCGTTCAGCTACAAAGGAAGGCTCTCCTAAAAGAGCCCAGGCCATCTCTGAAAGAGTCAACATTTAGGTAGCTAAATGCCTTTTCTTTTGTTATGTAACTTAAAAAGATCAGTTTGTCAGGGTTTCGATGGATGCCCTAATTAATTCATGAGCCTCGAGCCAAGTTTCAAAAGAAATCCAATTATTTATTAGGAGCAACATGTCGGCAAATTCCCATGTGCAGTCAGCTCTATCCGACATCATTTACTGCCCACCCATGACCGTGTTTTCCCCCTCCTCCCAGGGTGTGTCATAAATCACATTCTCCAACGGAGCACTTTCCCGGGCTATAGAAAAAAAACATGCCTCCCCAGCTGGCTCTAGTAACCTGGGATACAATCTGAAGAAAGGTATGCATGGAATGTGCTTCTGGTCATGGCAACCGGGCTGCTCCATCAGTTCTTCCCCCACCCCCACCCCTGCTCCATCAGTTCTCCCCGCACCTCCTGCCTATGGCAACTCAGGAGCAGGCCAGGAATGCTTTACTAGTTGACAAAGTTTTTGTCACATAGTCTTGTGAAGGGCCACGTATGTCACTGGTTCAAGACACAGAATGGAATAAGATGCATAAGATATCCCTATGTTTTGCTTTTGCAAGCTTGTGGTCAAGTCTAAAGTGTTAGAACCCCAACTGTAGAATTGTGAAGGTGTTAAATTGTCACAACTAAGCTTAGATGAAGCTGAGAAACTGCCTGTATAAACTTAGAAACTACAGGTAGTCCTCGACTCATGACTACGATTGAGCCCAAAATTTCTGTTAAGTAAGATGGTTGAGTTTTGCCCCACTTTACAACTTTTCTTCCACAGTCGTTAAGTGAATCTCTATACTTGTGAAGTTAGTAATTTAGGTTGTCAAACAAATCTGACTTCCCATCGACTTGGCCCATCAGGTCACAAAAGGGGACCACATAACCCTGGGATATTGCAACCGTCATAAATATGAAGCAGATGCCAAGTGTCCAAATTTTGATCACGTGACCATGGGATTGCCGCATCAGTCACTTTTTTCAGTGCCGTTGTAATTAACGGTCATTCAATGAACGGTTGTTAGTTGAGGACTACCTCAACTTACCTGTACTGTACTTTACCTATATGTACTGTAATTAATCAACCCGCTTGGACAATATTTTTTAAGGCAACAATTCCTCCTCTAATATAGGAGTTGGTGACTAAACTCAACAGCAAATCCACATCCATGGTTACACCTGCAGTGGGACCTTGAAATCAGCTGTGTTGAGGTCAGACAGAAAACTGAGGGGCAGGAGAATCTGTTCTCCTGGCAGACACCCCATCTGTCACCACCCAGGACAATGTGTAGCGGCTTGTTGGCTGCCGGCCCCTCCAGCAGCCGAATCAGAAGAGGCGGCGGCGTGGGAATCAGCGTCAGCATCAAGGCAGCCTGGGAGCTCTGAGGGGGAAAAGGGAATGGAGCTGGCAGAGAGGGAGAGACAGAGGCAGAGCCTGGGCCGTTCGTCAGCCCTCAGATGGGGAGTCAACATTCCCAGGACTGGAGGTGGCTGATGAGGAAGAGGAGGAACAGCTGGGTCCAGTGCCTGACTCACGAATGCGCAGAAGGCAGAGGAGAGGAGAGCAGTGGAAATTTATGGGCCGGTCCTTGGGACGGAAGAGCCACCGCTGCTAGCGAAGCCCCACTCTAGCTCTGGGGATAAAAGCCAGGGGGTGGAAATCTCTCTGGGGGGCAGACTTGTTGGCCTGCTCTGTATGTGTGGGGGGGGGGGGGGGGGGAAGGGAGGGAGGGGCAGAGACTTTTTGCCGGGGCTGCTGGTGCTCTTAATAAAGGAATCATTGGTTTAACTACCGAGGGTTTGTTGTGTTTGGGGAGCTGGGTCACAACACAATGCCAACCAGGGAAACCTCAAAAGAGATGCTTTGGAGCATGTGAAAGCACTCATTCCTCACACCGTGGAAGCAGGAAAATCTGCTCCCAGCTGTCTCAGATATACGTAGTACAGGTGGTCCTCAACTTACAACCACAACTGAGCCCAACATTTCTGTTGCTAAGTGAAACAATTGTACAATTTTACGACCTTCCTTGCCACAGCTGTTAAGTGAATCGCTCCCATTGTTAAATGAATCTGGCTTCCCCATTGGCTTCACTTTTAGAAAGGTGGAAAAAGTTGATCACATGACCCCGGGACAGTTGCAACTGTCATAAATACATGCCAGTTGCCAAGCATGGAATTTTTGATCACATGACCGTGGGAATGCTGCAACTTTTTCCAGTGCCTTTGTAACTTTGAATAGTCGCTAAAGGAACTGTTTCAAGTCAAGGACTACCAGTAATAACGGTACAAATCCAGTATTTAATATCCAAATAAAAGTAAAGGGCACTGAGATATAATAACCACCAGTTGAGACAAACCTTGCATTATCTTCTCTTTGTTGTATCTTGTTTGTCCACTGTGGAAAAAAACAAAACAAACAGAAACCAGCAACTTAAAATAGGAGAAAAACCAATTCTGATTGAAAACCTTTAGCCATTAGCATTTTTAATGTTACTCAGCCCTTACAGCGCTGACTCAGCTGAGCTATCCCAGCCTTTCCCTGCTAACAAAACGCACAATTTTGTTACACGCACAAACACCAACATTGCTGGTGGGGATGCTTACTGTGTAACGAAGAGGCACTGGCACATGTTCCCTGCCCCTTCTTGAGGTACAGGCATCGCTCCAGGAATCTACCAATGACTCCTCAACCCTGACTTGATCACAGGGACTCACGTCACTAAAATGACCAGGAGAATTGTGAGAGATTAAGCAGTGAAAACTAATCATTTTCCTAGCTGGAAAGATTGGCATGAATCTGTATTTGGGTTAGATGCAGTGTTATGTGATCAGTGAGGAAGGGATATAGGATCAGGGGGAAAGATTGGAATTATCAAGGCCTGCCAGCACCAGTGCAAACAATGAGAAAAGGGCCCAAGAGGAAAGATCCGACATCTATATACAAACCCCCCTACCCCCACCCCCCCAAAATGGAGCTCCAACAGGATGAGAATATACTACATGTAATTCATTTCAAGAAAGATTTTTCCTCTTTGGTCTGAACTTAGACAAGAGGGTTGTGTTGTTGTCTTATATATTAAGACAATATATATATATTAAGGAATAATGGATGGAAACTGAACAAGAAGATTCAACCTAGAAATAAGGATAAATTTTCTGACAGAGAAACTGGAACAGCTGGCCTTCAGAAGTTGTAGGAACTTCATCACTGGAAGCTTTGAAGAAAAGATGGGACTGCCATCTGTCAGAAATGGGGTATGGTCTCTTGCTTGGGCAAGGGGTTGGACTAGATGCCCTACAAGGCCCCTTCCAACTCCTGTTCTGTTCTATTTTATTCTTTATCATTAATACTAATGAAAAGTAGATTGTGTTTATTAAGACGACTGATGAATAAATGTATAGAGCTATAAACAAGAAAAAGAGACATACCAATTAAAGTAATCAATACTTAATTTAACAATATGCACAGTCAATTTCATTAGAGAAGAGGAAAGCAGCCCAGGTTCACTCTGGCTGAGAGATACCTACTTAGCTCTGTGTTTGTTATCCCTGTCTTTCTCCATCAGAATTCAATAGTGTAGAGATGGTCAATAGGTAGCCTTCTGCTTGTACTGATATCAGCCAGTCGAAATTAAACTTTCAGATTAAGTCTGGATTTTTTTCTTGTGCTTTACTAAACAATTTGATACAATAGTCAAATTAATCAATTGCACAAGCAAAGCAAGAGTTTTGCAATGTTCATATCAAGGTATTTAAATTGTAACACTTAGTTTAGAAAATGCTCTTAATGCTTGAGACAAAAATCACAATTGTCCTTTTCATTTTCACTGCTGTTGATTTAAAAATCTGCAATTACAAGAACATAATTTTTAAAATCTTTAATGCATTAGAATTTTCCTCAGCCTCATAAGATGCTAGCTTTGGAAGGAAGTTTATTGCTTTCAATATAAGCCAATATAAATTATTTTTTATTGTTGACAGTCTCTATACTATTCAGCAGCATTTCTACATAATTATGGAAAATAAGCATTTTGGAACAGCAGTTTCTCATTTTTGAATTAACTAGAAAAGCCGAATGAAGTGCCTGCTACACTTGAGGGGAAGAAAATGCCAAAGATTTTGATCCAATAGTTTGTATTAGCATCATTGTGTGCTTTTAGAGGCCATTATTCACACTTGCTCTTGAAACAGACATAATGAAATCCTAACATTAGACTTGGAGCCAATACAGGATCTGCAATCTCTACTTCAATCTTCAACTTTTGCTTTATAATATACTTCTCACACAAATGACTAAGGAGAGGGAGTGAATTTACACAGAGTGATTTACATAATCCATAATAATCAGGCCTCTCCAAGGACACAGGTGATTAGGAATCCTTCCCACAACCACCCTGACTACAAGAACAGGAAGTGGAAAATACAATTAAAGAAAACCTAAATGGTGTCTTTAATGTAATGGGATACTGATAAGCCAGTGATCTACCTATGTAAATAATCAGGATTATATTATCATCTTGGGGGACCAACGGGATGACCTTCTGTGGGCCACACAGGCTTGGCTGAACACTTAAAAATTCCCTCAAGTCTTATCTGGTAATAGCTTGCCTCAAATGTGTGAAGACAATGGCCTGCTGTGATGCATTTTAAGGCCTGAACAGAATCCCTACCAAAAAAAAGGTGTCTCGTTTTCCAAAGACAGACAACTGTGATAAAGTTTTTTGTATGTATGTATGTATATATATTTATATTTATAAATAACTCAACCCTTTTTTATGAGCCACGGTGGCACAGTAGTTAAGAGTGCAGTACTGCAGGCTCCTTCTGCCTGCCAGCTGCCTGCAATTTGGCAGTTCAACTCTCACCAGGCTCAAGGTTGACTCAGCCTTCCGTCCTTCCAAGGTGGGTAAAATGAGGACCCAGATCGTTGGGGGCAACATGCTGACTCTGTAAACTGGTTAGAAAGGTCTGCAAAGCACTGTAAAGTGGTATATTAGTCTAAGTGCTACAACTATTATTTTTATAAATAAGTCACAGCCATGAACATATCCCAACACACCTTCCTCCTTCTATTTTCCTTCAACTCTGTTGTTCTAACAACCCCGTGAGGTGGGTTGGGCTAAAAGAGAGAGAGAGACTAATTTTAATTTTTATAAATAACCGAAGGCTGTGAATATACCTAACACACCTTCCTCATCCTATTTCCCCTACAACAGCAGCCCTGTGAGGTAGGCTAGGCCAAAAAAGAGAGGGGGCAAGCCGTTTGTTATTTTAATAAATAACTCAAGGCCGTGAAACCCTAACCCAACACACCTTCCTCCTCCTATTTTCCACACAATAACCCTGTGAGGTGGGTTGGCTAAGAGAGAGGTGGGGGGAGGGAGGCTGGCTCAGGGTCACTTAGCTGGCTTTCATGGCTAAGATGGGAATTGAACTCAGGGATCTCCTGCTTTCCAGCCTGATGCTTTAACCACTAGGCCCCAAACCGACTAGATTATACAAGACACCCGCCTTCGTCCCTCTCTGAGGTAACATCCACCCCGGGCTCAGGGCTTCTTTAGCGGGCTTGGGCAAACGGCTGGGTCGCCCTCTTCCCTCGGGCCAAGGAGGCTCCCGTGCACCACCCACGGGGCCCGGCGGAAGAGCCGCGAAGGAGGCTGAACTCCACCAGGGCCCTATCCCTTCTGCGGCCCCACATAGCAGCTCCCCCGGGGCCCAGATACTCACTGCCGGATGATCGTTAAGCCGAAGGCGGCCATGCCTCTCTCTATCGATGCTGCCCGCACGAATGACGTCACGCCGGCGCGCAGCGCCCGGGCCAATGGCGGACGGGTGGGGAAACGCGGTGGAATCTCGCGAGAAGTGGGGGGGCGGAGAGGACAACCCCCCCCCCCCGGACGAGGTCCCCGCCCTCCTTAGGCATCGAGCGGGGGAGGGGAGGGGCTTTGCGCGCGAGCGCTTTCGTTATTTGGATGGTGGTTGCGGTTTCCTCTTGGGGTGGCTCGCCTTGGGGCTGAGAGGGGAAAGGAGGAATGGAAAGAGATGGAAGAAGTAGATGAGAGGAAGGACGGAACGAAAGAAGGGGAAAAGGAGAGGAAAGGAAGAAATAATAGAAGGAAGAAATTGGCACAGAAGGAAGGAATGCGGAAAGGAAAGGAAGAAATAGAAGAAAAGAAAGGAAGAAATTGGCAGAAGGA